CCAAACATTGCTACATATTCAAAACTCATATTTAAAAGTTTTGATTAAATTAATACAACTCCTCTACCAACTACATCAAGAACTTGTCAATTGGTTTCATATTCTTTTCCTAAATGACAAGACGCTTTTATAATATAAAAACACCAACTGAATTATACAAAGCTCTTAAATTTGATTCATGTGCAACTAACTCCTTGACCTTTCTGCCCCTAAATTTTACTAGTTTGTGCTGATAATCCTCATCTAATAATCATTATGTTATTTTACAATTGGAGCATATTGTGTTATTGACTAAAAACTCTCAAATTTTATTTTTTATGTGTAGATAACCCTTTCAAATTTTAACTTTAAATTACATATACATAATCTTCTAAACTTTAAGCCACGTGCATGCAAGTCACTCATCATACTATATTATTTTAATAAGATGACAAACAAATTAACAATAAAAAATTATTTATATGAATAGAAGAGTCTAGGGGTTTATTATAAAATTTTAAAGTTGTGAAAGTTATCTCCACATAACTGGAATTTTAGAAGTTTGGAAGGTTACATATAATTTAGCGAAGAAGTGGGGAAAAAGTATCAGTGTATGAAGTTTTATAAGTATGGGCAAGTAGCTAGGGTTCAGTATTGACACTTGACATGGGTTGGGCGACCAACTATGCAAGCTGTGAGTGAATTATATATAGAAAATTTTAGCATTATTCATGGTGTATATATATATATATATATATATTTCTTGAAAAAAAAAGAAGATTTTTAAGTGAAAGGATTTTTATGCCGGGTCCTCTTTAAGCCTTTTAAGATCGGGCTCTAACTTGAATTAGCCTTTTAGGCCTTATATTTTTTCTCTCTCTATTTTCCAGTCAACCTGTGGATGAAATTGCTAAAAATTGTTTGATTGAAACGGCTAATATTACAGATTAACATGATTGAAATTTTTTAGTTTATTTTTATTTTTAAACTAATGTATGAAAATGATATAATTTTTTAAATTAGGTATTAACATAGTTAAAGAGATAAATAAAAAATTATGTAGACTTTTAAGACCGACCCTAAACCTGATAATGAAAACTTGATTTCAGAAATATGAATATGTGATCAATTTATTATATGCAAGATTATGGGTTGGGATCTTTAAAAGTTATTAATTCTATAACGACTAAGCTAGCTCTTATTAATACCTCTAATCCATGGTAGAGGACAATAATTCAACATTTAAGCTTTGAGCTTTTCCAAACTCTCAAGTCAAAGTCAACATTTTATTTTGTCTTGTGGTCATGATATTGGTATCATTTTCATTCATAAAAATATAATATTTTAATATATTGGGATTCTATTTTATTCTACATATCAAGTGACTTATAAATTACATAATGGAAGCTAATGTTAGTAAGGATTGAAAGGCTGAATACAAAGAAGAAAAATCAATGAAATTAAAGGCCAACTTGTAAACTTTCTATTTCGTATCCTCTAAGAATTCTACTACTTTGGACATTAGAATATTCTTTGTAGATTTCGAAACTGTATGGGTTATATATGGTTCGGATTCAATCAAGAGAATCCGACCCAGCTTGGAAAAGAATTTAATAAAAAGCTTATCAGAACAGAACTTTTAAAATTATACGCACGCGCTTTCGGATTTTGAAGAATAAAGTTGAAACACAAAGATGAAAATGGATGGAGGAAAAAAATATCGACATGAGTAAGTTGAACAAAGAGAGAATTATTTTAAACTTCTACTCAATATAATTAATTATTCTCAAGTTCATTAACAATTAAATTGCTGAGTGGGACTTAAATGTAATTTTTTCTTGAACAAATGCTTGTTTAGTACAAAATGAGACTAAACAAGGGGAAAGGGAAGTTTTTTTTCCCAGTAAATATGGGAAGCTTTTTATCTAAAAAAAATTGTCATTTTATCCATCATCTACTAGATAAAGCAAAAATATTTTTCTTCAATTTTTCTTTCTCTTTAAATCCTTTTTCATATACAAAACAACCAAAAATCATGATGCGAATGGAAGTAAGAATATTTCACACCAACTAAACTCTGGAATAGATGACAAGAAAATAAAGGGCAAGCTTGTTTACAATCAGAGCAAAACATCATTTCAATTAAGTTTAATATTATAGGGTGTGTTTGGATTTCTAATGGGTATAATTAATTATAAAAAAATGATTAACATAATATATTTTAATTATAATTGATTATATTATAATGTGATAGTGTTTGGATGATATTTTTTAAAATTGATTTTGATAAAATTTATGATGTTTGGATAATTTTAATTAAAATTAATTTTTAATGTATAAATGATAATAAAAGACATGAGTTTTATGGTAAATAAAATTTCATATAATATTATTAAATTTATTTTGATTTATTTAATAAAAATATAATAATGATACATTTACTGTTTTAAAAATTATTCAACACATATATATTGATAAACAATATAAATTTAAATTAAGTTACTATAATTTTATAATATTAATATTTAATAATATTTTTAATCAATGTTACAGTTTTTTTTCACGTTTAATGTTTTGTTCTCTTTAATAGTATATAATAAACATTCTTATTTCATTTTTTTTGAAAAAAAAAAAACTTTTCTTTTTATCTCGAGCTACGTACTAAAGTAGTTACTTTATTGATTTTCCACCGTTCACACTTTTTGTTCTCACATTCACACAAAGCCAGGTGTACCTTTGGTAGAATAAAAATTCTGACAAGTAATAAATGTTTATACAGGTATAATTGAAATTGATAAGTTGGTGAGCATAACTTAGACAAAAATGTAATTTGGGGTCACATAATCAATTATGCCGAAATGGAGGTGTTTGGATTTTTTCACCAAAGTCACATTTCCGTACAATTAATTGATTCCCATGGCTAATCCAAACAAGCACATAGTTGCTGGAAAAACATTATGCTAATTATAAAGGTTTAATTTGTTAGAGGGGAAAAAAATAAATGCTCTTGATTAAGAAGCTTTATCATATTTAACCTAATTAAAATTACTTTATTTTAATCTTAAATAAATTGATCCAATGCGAAATGAGCATGAAACTTGGGATGATGTCAAGGGAAGAATTTGAACGAGCAAGTAAAACTACACAGCCTAATCCATGAAGTGATAATTAGTTCATCTATTGTGTGGCAAAGAACGCATTCACTTTTTCTATCTAAAAAAAAAAAAAAACAGAGAGAAAAGAAGGCATTCTCTTTAATTCATATATATTTTTTAAGATTCACACTCTCATTCGCTAGCTCAGTTTTTTAAAGACTAAAATTTATTCTTAGTTTTTTACCTTTATATAAAATTTTAATTTAATTTTTTAATTTTGTAAAGTATTTTTTTAATCCTTAAACTCTAACATTGTTATTCTCAAATAATTATTTTTTGTATAAATTATTATTATTTTAAAAAGATTAAACTCAATATGTCAACATTTAAAAGTGTTTTGTCAATATTTAAAATTTTAATGTAAAAAATTATTAGGATAAAAGTAACGGTGTTAAGATTAAAAAACTACAAAGATACTTTAAAAAATTAAGGAGCTAAAATAAAATTTTATATAAAATTAAAGAACTAAAAATATAGTTTAATTGTTATATATATATATAATCAAATATGATTAAATATAAAAAAAAATTACATTAAAAGCTCAAGCTGTCTAGATGACTTCGACTAACCCGGGCAGCAATACTGGAAAATACAATAACAAGAAATAAGGAAAACACAAAAGCTACAAACAATTAATTAATTAAAGCAAAACCAAAGATATATTGCTAATTGAGACACAAAAAGAGCGATAGTGAAGTTTATGCAATAAGCAATGTGAAAGACTCTCATATCACGAGCAAACATAACAACCCACTGATGACAATATTTGTTGATACGATCAGCACAAGTTATCAAGGGAAAAATCATGGCATAACATCCAATCCACATACACTATCCCTGCACATATTTCTACTCCCAACGTTTAATTCAGACTTTTTTGAGGTAATTTGGTGTCCTAATTAACTCTTAAAATATATTTGCTTTAGATTATTATATATGACATCTTTTGCTTGATAAAAAATATTTACTTTAGTCCTATTTATAAGTTATTCTCAACATATTTTATTAAAATTAAGGAAAATTTTAAACCTCATTAAATTTATTTTAAAATTTAACAAGTTTTCACTTTTACTCCTAATAAATATTTTTAAATCTCATTACTGATATTTTTATTCAAAGCATTTAATAAGGAAAAAAATATAAAGAGGAGCATTAAAAATTGACAAGTATTTTATAAATAAGATCAAATTTTTTCTTTTCTCTTTACCTTATAAATAGAACCAAAGGAGTATAAGGTATTAGGCAATATTTTGTAATTATTATTCTAACTATACATCTACTTTATTTATTACTTTTTTTTTTTACAAAATGATGCATTAAAACTTCAATTATCATTATTAAGGCAGTTATATAAAGTATTTAATAAAGATATAACTTGAAAAGGAAAAAGAAAAAGAAAATGTACAATTTTTTGAGATATTAAGATTTTATTTATTTTTTTTAAAAACATGAATTATTACCAATACACTAGATTGTGGTGTGGCGGAAGTAAGTTGTTTTGGGGGAAAAAATTCATTAATAATCATCATTTCAATATTACCCCTTATCATTATTTTACTCCTTATAAATATTATTTCTTTTTTCCTTGATCCTTTACTTGGAAGAAGTGTTATGTTTAAACTCAACGTTAACATCTTAGTGTCCTTCAATGGATGCATGTCTCTCTTTACTGGAGAAAAGATTTAGGCTAGGGGTAAAATTTTAAAACATAAAATTATAAATTGTATTTAATCAACTTTATTGTTATATATATAATTTTGTCAAAAAAATATATCTTGTAAATATCTTGTAAAAAAATCCTCAAAATTCACAGCTGACGATGGCTCTAGAAAATTTGCATATTCAAGATAACACTCAGTAGCAATGGATACCAAAAATAAGATAATTATTTTAACAAAAGAAAAGAAAATAAACATATACTACAAATTACAGTCCTTAATTTAGAATTGCTGCTCAAGGTTATATATACCATCACAAAAAGAAAAGACAAACCAGGTCCTAATTTTTCTATTTAAGAAATGAAATCCAGTAATCACATAAAACTTCTCTGCAATATCCGATCGAACAAGAAAACTCAAGCAAACAAAGCAGCTTGATTAGAAATGGTGGTGGCTGTGGCAGTAGATCTATTATGATGATGATGACGTGGAATTGCTGGCCTATAACACTATGATCCCTTCTTGACTTCCATTCCCCTTTACCAATTTGCCCTGATAATGCATTACTTCTCCACAATCCTCCATAGCTTCTTCTGCAACACTCCATCTTCTTCATCTTCACTGGATTGTTTTCTTCCTTGACCAGATCCTCCAACCTCCTTACACTCGCCAATGAAGTAAATGATTGTGACTTCCCTTCGTAATGCCTCGAGAGTCCCCTCCTGTAACACAAAGATCCATTCTCTGTGAGCCGGATCACAAACCCAGAAACTTAAACCTGAGAATTTTCAAGTACACAGAGTCAAGATTCGAGCTTGATTATGCTTACTTAATGGGAAGTTGCTGAAACAGAGAGGACATGTCACCCAGAGAGTCATGTGCTACTGCTGCCACCACAAGATTTGATGTTACTTCCTCAGAGGAATCCGATTCCATTGATGACCCACTTGAAAACCCAGAAGATGAAGAAGAGAAAGAATGAACGAGATCATGATCATTCTCACGAGCTTCCACCATGGGATTCTTCAGCTGCTCATCCATCTCTGAGTTCTTGCCTCGAAAACCCTCCATGGGCTTTTATGGTTTGATTCAGAATATGTATGTATATAATATGAACGATTGGCACTGTTTCCCTTGGAGCCAACCAATCACACAAAAAAGGTAAGAGCTTTCAGTGGAACAGAATAAGACAGATAGATACTTGTGGGTTTGAGGTTTTGGAATGCATGGATGGTTTATAAGGAAAGTTTCAGCGTAATCATGGATATTGGATAAGATCGATGATTCGATGTTTTCTTCTTTAATTTCTTTTTTATTCCTTTTTTTAATATTCCACGTGAGCAAAGAAATGATAAAAGATTCGTCTTTATCCGTGTTTTTGATTTTGCAGAAAATGATGGACGTGCATTAATTTAAAGGTTATTGGTCGATGATACATTCAAGTTGGTGTACAAAAAAATTCGTTAAATGCTTTTCGTATTAATTTTTTAAAAATTATTTTAAAATGTGTTAGCCAAAAAGAATTTTACTTTTGAGTGTTAATCATATAAAATTTGATTAGTTTGAATGGAGTTAAACAATTGTTTTGAAGGATAAAGCTTTAAAAATTTTTATTTTTTCTATTCCAAGATTCAAATTTAATCATTTTTTGTCCAAAAAAATTTACTCATTTAAAACAACATTAAATTTTAGTATAAATATTTTTATTGCGAGCATACAGATAACTTTAATTAATTTTTCTCGTTTCCTGTCCCTGAATAAAAGCCCACCATAGCTGTACAAAGTTTGACTCCTTACCATCAGGGTGAATATGGCATTTCAATAATTCATTTTACGGATTTAATCAATTCAATTGCAAATAAGATCATTTTACCTAGAATTAGAATTAGATCGATCGATCAAGAGAGTCGAACCATCTTATTATAAAATCTTAAATTTGAATCTTGAGATATGTAGCCAGTCAACCACACTAAATAATAGAAATGTTAAAAAAAATTTTAAGATATGTATTGAGACTATCATTAATAATAGCAATCTCACATAACAAGATCGTATATTAGGAAAAGTGAATGGTGGTAGACCCCGTAAATGGAAGGGTTTGTCTCTTATAGGTTTGGCCTATGTGGGCTTGGCCCCAAATGCCTAGTAATCATAAAAATAACAATTTCTTCAAGCTTATTTCTTATTGATTAGACTCAAGGCATGACTTATAAGCTCTTTTTATTTTTTTGGAAGTTTTAAAATTTTGATTTTTATTTTATAGAAAAAATAAAAATTTAATTTCCTGTACTTTGCTTAGATTTTGCTATTAGTTCTTGTATTTTTTATGGTATTTTTGGTCCCTATACTTTTGTATGGGTGGGTCACTTCATGAATAAAATATAAGAATCTTGAAAAGTTTTAAAATAATAAAAAATAAAAATACAAAGATCAAAAATACTGAAAAAAGTATAGGAATAAATAGTAAAATACGAGCAAAATATATGAATCTAAAATTATGTTTTTCTTATCTTATAATATTACATGTTCTGTCTTTAAAATATAAATTATAATGTTCAAAAATTAAAAATAAGTAAAAAATTCTAATTTTAAAATATAAACATATATTTTTAAAGCCTAAATTTAATTTAAAAATTTAAAAATATTTTATGTTTTAGGAAAAAAAATTAAAAAGTGACTAAACGGACCACTTGAACCTAAATCTGAGCCCATTTTTTTAGGACTAGGCTTAGAAGCCCTGTTATGTTAAAAAATTTCAGTTTTTCAAATTTCAATCTTTATAAAAATGGATCTAAACAGGTAGCTTCTCGCCTTATTCCCAATTTTAGGTGATAATTACAGTTTAAGGTTTTTTAAGATGCCATACATTGCGACAAATAAAATAAAATAAAATAAAATAAGAATTAGAGTCCAGCAGTCTCATTTCCAAGTTGCTTGTAGTTCAGCACATTGAGAGATTTTGTGGGGAGAGCTTTGTGCATATTGCTATACGTGAGTTCCCTGCGTTTAATTTGTACCAAGTTTGCCATCCCTTCGTAAATCAAAAAAATGAAAACAAAACTAATAAAAATAAAATTCAAGATAAAATTAATGCGGAATATAATTTGCCAGGGGCAGAACCGAACCGAGCCACGAGTCGGGCCTCAAGATTCCACCACATCATGCACGTGTAGATGTATAGTGGAGTTACTCGTTAACGTGAGCGGATAATTGCACCTCTTTACTTTAAAAAAAAATTATATGTATATAAATTTTTTAACTTTACACTCTAATTCTTAATATTTTACAGCCTTTAGACTAAATAAAAAAAAATTTAACTTTGAGTCTCTATACTTTATTCATATTTTTTTATTAGTCTTTGTATTTTTTTCGGTGTTCTAAATTTTTTCAAGATCCTTATACTTTATTCATGAAAAGATTTAAAATACTGAAAAACAAATGTATATGGATATAAAATATAAAAAAAAGTGCAATAATCAATTACAAAATGTGAATAACGTGCAGGAATTTAAAATTATTTTTTTATAAAAAATATTTGGTCTTAAAAACTTATTGAATATGTAATATTTTAATGATAAATATAAGATATGAAAAATATATTTTACATAAAAGATCATATCAACTTATTAAATATTTTTTTTTAAATAATGATTAATGCACCCATATTATTACAATTTTATTCCTAATGTAATTATATTATTTTTAAAAAATTTGTTAATTTTTAAATTAAATTATGTTGCACCTCGTCCTGTCGCCGCTACTGTATATAGGTGCAGTCCCCACTTTTTTTTTTTTTTTTTAACTCCACCAAGGAATATAGAGAGAGTGTGTGCGTGTATTCGAAACCTGGGATAAAGGTATGACATGTGCCTCCTTCCACCCTATATTTCTTGACACTTGACTCCACACTTAAAAAAAAAAAATGCTTGGAACAAATTGTGTATATACAATTATACATATATGTTTATATCTTTTATTAATATATTTATTTATTAAGAAATAACAATACTCTATTAAGATATGTACATTAATAGGAGAGATATTGTCATCATTCCCTTTATCAAGGTTTATTTTAATTTCTTGATAATATTTTTAACAAGACAACTTTAATATATAATATACTCCTTTTCATTATTAAGATTTTGTCTTATCAGGTGTTTTTCTAATAAAATTTTAATGAGATGTAGTATTTGTTTATGGACAATTAAATAGAAGCGTTATATGCATGTTCATAACTTCTCCCAACTCTTAACATTCACTATGGTATACACCATAACCTCTCCAATTATTGATTTTTAGCGATTTTTTTATGTTTAATATCCAAAAATTCACTGGTACCTTACATTCAAAGGTGACATAGAATATATTTATGTGAATTAATCTTGTAATTTATTCCAATGAAGCTGTTGGATAGAATTACACACCTATAAATAAAAGTCATTTACCACATATTTTACGCATCAAAGTGAATTAGAATCACTTCTCATTTACTTTCCAATTCTTTCTTCTATTTTCATTTCCATTATTATATTCTATGTTGTTTGTCTTATTATTTTTTTATATAGTGATTTTCATAACAATAAATAAATATATGTATGTACATTAAAAATTTTGCCACTCCTAAAAGTGTGTTTGGTTTGAGGGGAGGAGAGGGGTTTGATGTTACCTTGCTTAATTCATGAGGGAAGGAAAGAAAATAATTATATATGAATAATTTTATCCTCATTTTATTAATATTGAGATATTAGATAATTGTATATGCATTTTTTGAATTTATCACAAAGTGCATATTGGTTAGGTTATGAAAATTTTACCCCTCCCATCTCACTCCTCTCAATTTGGAGGGGAGGGAAGATTTTATTCCCCTCCCCTCCCCTTCAATTTTTCAAACCAAATAAGGGGAGGGGGACAAAATCGCTCCCCTCCAACTAAACACTCCCTAAATATTCATGCTGGGTTCACCATTACAAGTTGTATTTCTTACATAAGATTTTATTATATTCATGAAATTTTATTTTTATTTTTTAATTTTATAAAATATTTTTTCAATCTTTTTATTCTAATGTCATTGATTTCATTAATACAAAATGCTGATTAAGAATTTCAAATAATAATATTTTAATCAAATTATTTTTATTTTTTAATTAAAATTCAACATGTCCATATTTGTTAATGTTTTATCAGTATTTAAATTTGCCATATCAGCAATTTCCTATTAAAAATTAAGGATTAAATGAAAATTTGGATCATAAATTATAGACTCAATAGTAATTTAAACCTTGAACTCATGTTTTTATACATTTTAACCCTTAAACAAATACATCTGGGACAATCTAGCCCACGCCATTAATTGGGACTAAACATTCATTACTTTAAATGTGGGGATATGCATTTGATCACCTCCCGCCACTCCTCCCCTCTCCTTCTTACTATAAAGTTATCCTTACTAATTCACCAATAATCTCAAGATCATGGTAATCCTAAGATTATCTGATATATTACATGTTTTGCAATATTACAAAATAGGATCCTAATTTTTCATATTTAGAAAATACTTAAATATTATTTAGTGAACTTAAATCAAAGTAAAATATCATTACAAAAGCATAGACACAAAAAGGTTCAAAGCATTACATTTTAATTAAAAAAAATAACAATGCAGAATTTAGAGGGTGCTCTGCAGCATATGGTCAGTGTACCACAGCATACTTCCTTGCGACACATTGTGCAGGTTAATAGCAGCTATGTTGGTCATTTGGCAGTATTAGGTGCTAATTTTTGACGTGCCTCATTTCTCCATTTGACAGTTGATTGAGGCAATTTAGATGTTTAGGAAGCTCATTTTGAGATCTAACTAACAGCATGGTTTTTACTTCCAAAAGATTTCACACAAGAAAGTTGTACACCAAAATACATTTTCATATTTTCTCAACTAAATAGTGTTACACGTGTGCTAAAAGCTACTACTAACACTAAGATTACACTCAATAGATTAGAAATTATTTGTACAATACATCACATGCCCTCAATCACAACAAAATCTCAATTTTACTCCTCAATCCCTTTAACATAAAAAATAAAAAGGAGAGCTTAAGCTTTGTATAAATCACTTAACTCCATATACGACAATGTAAAATGTTTCCCCACTTACACTAGTATTTTAGACATATCTAAATCATTCAATTACTTTTACAATACTATTAAAGCCCAAAATACA